AAAAACTGAATCCATGTTGAATTAACATCTTTAACTAATTATAAGTTACCTCCTGAATAGTCATTATGTTAACTTGAAATGCCAAAGTTGAATCAATGTTAAAACCTGACCAGAAAATCAATGTTGGGAGGAATAATTGAATCAATGTGAAAAATTAACTCAAACATCAACATTCAAAAATGCAAGTTGAATAAGGTTGAAATAATGTAGGTTTATCAACTCAATCTTACTTCAAAGTTGAATCAATGTTGAAATGCCAACGTTGAATTTGTTGTCGTTGAATCAAAGTTGAATCAATGTTGATATGCTAACGTTGAATTTGTTGTCGTTGAATCAACGTTGAATCAATGTTGAAATGTCAACGTTGAATTTGTTGTCGTTGAATCAAAGTTGAATCAACGTTGAAATGCCAACGTTGAATTTGTTGTCATTGAATCAAAGTTGAATCAACGTTGAAATGCCAACATTGAATTTGTTGTCATTGAATCAACGTTGAATCAACACTGAAATGCCAATGTTGAATTTGTTGTAGTTGAATCAACGTTGAATCAATGTTGAAATGCCAACGTTGAATTATGGTCATTGAATCAACGTTGATTCAACGTTTATCAACATCTCAACATAAATTCAATGTTGATTCAACGTTGAATCAACGTTGTGTGCCTGCTGGGCTTTCTCCAGAACAAATAAATCAATTACGTATTCCAAAAAATTAAAATTGTTGTCCATGGAATTTGTCCGGTTGAAAAGCCACAAATGTCAGCTTTTGATTTGCATGTGAAATAAAAATCCTGAAACTGAATCTTCGCATGATTACAGTAACTGTCTTCTTTTCCCCATTTTCCTTTACACGGAGACAAATATTAAATTACTTAGTTAATAACAAGCAAATAAAAAGTCTTTTTGTGTTTAACAGAAGAAAAGTAAGGTTCCCTGAAGAATGTAAAAAAAAAAAAAAACTAAAAAAAAAAAAAAACTATAGATATTTTGAAGATTAATAAAAAATCCTATCATCAGTCTCAGTCTGCCATTTTGGAGGTTTACGCGCGCGAGTGGACCTCCTGGGTAGGTCAAAAGATTCTTCATCCTGGTTGTTTAGCGATCCATTCTGAGGTAACTGCTCTGTGGACTCTGATGGGGACAGTGGGGTTACAATTTCTTCAGGTAGTGAAGGTTCTGCTAATGGAGGCAACTTAGGCTGATCATGGTCA